TTTTGAGGCATTCCAGGCTCAGTTATCTAACCCCACACATCTCGTAGAAAAATGCAGTTTTTGGCTAGAGCAGTGGAGAGCTCTTTGGATTTTGGAGTCAGAATATACCCCCTTAGAAGTACTTCTCCAACCCTTTATTAGGTGACCTGGAAAGCTGCCAATTTCGAGTGGCGCCCAGACCAAAAGAGGGCTTTATAGCAGGTTCAGATCATAAAACAGCCAATGCTGCCACTTTGGATTATATGATCCTGCAGAGACAATGTTGCTGGAGGAATCTGTGGTGGATATAGTTTCTGTGGGGAGTCTCTGAAAGCTCAGATAGAAGGGCTGCAGTGAGGACCCCTAGGATTCTGGAGCAAGGCCATAATTACCATGGTCCATTTGAACAAAAAGGTTCTTCTGTGCCTCTGGGTCCCAGTAGTGACTGAGCATGTGACCACCAGAGGTCAGGTGGCTATACATCTAAAGCTAGATGTTATCAGATGGGCACAGCAGCAATCCAACATGATGGAAGTGGCACATTCAGGGCTATGCTCAAAGGATCCAGAGGCATGAGTTAATCAAATGAACAGACATCTCAGACTCCCATGACATCTAACTCTATGGACCTGACACTTCTTTAACTCATACCTATGGCCTCATGGAGGATTCCCTGCAACCAACTGATAAAGGAGGAAGAGAGTAGAATACATTTTACAGATAGATCATTGTAGGCAGAAGATGCTTGCTCCTTGGAAGGAAAGCTATGACAAACCTAGTCAGAGTATTAAAAAGCAAAGACATCACTTTGCCAACAAAGGTCCGTCTAGTCAAAGCTATGGTTTTTCCAGTAGTCATGTATAGATAGGAGAGTTGGACCATAAATAAGGCTAAGGGCCGAAGAATTAATTTTTGAACTGTGGTACTGGAGAAGACTCTTGAGAGTCCCTTGGACTGCAAGGAGATCAAACCAGTTAATCCTAAAGGAAATCAACCATGAATATTCACTGGAGGGACTGATGCTAAAGCTGAAGCTCCAGTACTTTGGCCACCCGATGCGAATATGTTGGGAAAGATTGAAGGCAAAAGGAGAAGAGGGTGGCAGAGGATGAGATGGTTAGATAGCATCACCAACTCAATGGGCATGAACTTGAACAAACTCTGGAAGATAGTGAAGGACAGGAAAGCCTGGAGTGCTGCAGTCCATGAGGGTCAAAAAGAGTTGGACATGACTTAGTGACTGAACAACAACAGAATAGGCACCAGATGGAAATGGACCACTCTGTTATAACCCCAGGTAGGAGTATCCCCAAAGGACAGCAGTCAGTCCTCCCTGGGGGCAAAACTCCAAGCAATATACTTTGTTATTCCCTCTGTGTGAAGGAAGCCATGGGCTGAAGCACAGACATACACTAACTCCTACTAACTAGCAAATGGCTTGGCTAGTTGGTCAAGGGCACAGAAGAGGAAGGGTGGGATTTCGGACATAAGCAGGTCAGGGTAAGGGGCATATACATGGACTTCTGGGAGTGGGTGCAAGGCATGCAGATCTCTGTGTCTCGCACTAATACTCACCAAAGACCATCGAGGCTCTCCAGCCAGAGGGTCAGATGTCCCACCTTGTGGAAGTCAACCATCGTCTAAACCTAGCCACCCTGCTGTTTTGCAAAAGACCCATAAAAGGATGGCCCCAGTGGCAAGGATGGAGGCTATGAATGCACCTGACAACTTGGGTTCCCTTTCATCGAGGCTGATCTAACAACTGCCAACAACTAGCCAACCAGGAAGCAGTAGGCAGCTGCACAGAAACATTGGTTAGGGAGAGCAGCCAGTCACCTGGGTGCAGGTCAGTTACATCGACTCCCTTCCAGCTTGGAGAAGGCAACGATTCATCCTTACTGGAATTGTTCAGTTCAGTTCAGTCACTCAGTCATGTCCGACTGTTGGCGACCCCATGGACTGCAGCACGCCAGGCCTCCCTGTCCATCACCAACTCATGAGTTTACTCAAATTCATGTCCATTGAGTCAGTGATGCCATCCAACCATCTCATCCTCTGTCATCCCCTTCTCTTCCTGCCTTCAATCTTTCCCAACATCAGGGGCTTTTCAAATGAGTCAGTTTTTCACATCAGGTGGCCAAAGTACTGGAGTTTCAGCTTCAGCATTAGTCTTTCCAGTGAATATTCAGGACTGATTTCATTTAGGATGCACTGGTTGGATCTCCTTGCAGTCCAAGGGACTCTCAAAAGTCTTCTCCACCACAGTTCAAAAGCATCAATTCTTCAGCACTCAGCTTTCTATATAGTCCAACTCTCACATCCATACATGACTACTGGAAAGACCACAGCTTTGATTAGACTAGACGGACCTTTGTTGGCAAAGTAATGCCTCTGCTTTTTAATATGCTGTCTGAGTTGGTCATAGGTTTTCTTCCAAGGAGCAAGTGTCTTTTAATTTCATGGCTGCAGTCACCATTTGCAGTGATTCTGTAGCCCCCCCAAAAGCTGGAATTGTTATTTACTCCAAATATGGGTGGAATTTCTAATTCTTCAATCATCACCATCCAGAGGTTGAAAGAATGCTCAATCCAATACCCAAGGCAAGAAGACCCATTTTATGGCAAAGGATCTGAGACAATGGCCTCATGAACACGGGCTTCACTGGTGTTACTATATACCCATCATCCAGAAGCAGCCAGGTTGAGAGGACAATGGAATGATTTAATTTCCACAAGCTTTAATCTCCTCATCTGCAAAACACCATTATAAGCAGTGATAGTACTTCTCAAGACTGTTGTGAGATTGGATGCAAGTGCTCAATATATGACTTGTTGTTTAGTCACTAAGTCGTGTCTGGGGCTTCCCCGGTGTCTCAACAGTAAAGAATCTGCCTGCAATCCAGGAGATGCAGGATATGCGAGTTCAATCCCTGGGTCAGAAGATTCCCCTGGAGGAGGGCATGGTAACCCACTCCAGTATCCTTGCCTGGAGAATTCCATAGACTGAGGAACCTGGTGGGCTACTGTCCATGGGGTCACAAAGAATCGGGAACAACTGAAGCGACTGAGCACACATGCATGCAAGTCATGTCTGGCTCTTTTGTGATCCCATGGACTGTAGCCCACCAGTCTCCTCTGTCCATGGGATTTCCCAGTATTCCCAGAATACTGGAGTGGGTTGTGATTTCTTTTTCTAGGGGATCTTCCCGACCCAGGGATCAAACCCGAGTCTCCTGCATTGTAGGTGGATTCTTTACCTCTGAGCCACCAGGGAAGCTCCCCAATAAATGGTAGGCATTATTATTAATTCAATTAAATTGTCAGAGACTTTCTGCCTTAGGAGGAGCTGGTGGTCTGGCTTCACTAAGCCCAGTAGGACTGTGGATCCCAGTCTAGTTTGACCTGCTTTGAATACTCTGAGCTGTTCAGAAAGTCTCCAGCTTAAATTATGTCTTTTAGCCACGAAGCAGCTCAGCAGAGATGCTGTCACTGAGCAGAACTGGAAGGGAGGAGAAAAGCTGATGGAGGACTCGAGAAACTGAAACGAAAAACCGAAACTAGAAACTCTGACACTGATTGGCCACTTGGAGGCAATCTGAAAGGGTGATAAAAAACCAGCCTGAGGACTGTTACTTCACTGCTGCTCCCTTCTAGCAGCAGGCTCCATCCAGGCAGGAAGATTCTTTCTCTGCTCTCCTCCAAGGTAAACCCAGAAGCTATAAGGTGTGAGTGTCAAGCTGCCAACCTCTGCCAGGCTGCCTGCCTGGGAGCCTCATTCCATAAGAGCTAGAATGCCCATTCCTCAGGGAGGCTATACTCCTGAGTGTCCCGGACTAAGACTGGTCTGAAGGGATGGGTTGGTGGGCTTTTAGGGGCTTGGGTTGCAAAAACCCCCAAGAGTCATGAGATTTAGCTTATAGGTGCTGTGTCAGCGGCCTGTGGCCTTAACCCTGTCACTTCATTTCTCTGGGCTTCAGTTCTGTAAAAATAAGGATCAAGCTACTTTACCTGCCCAAAGGACTGGATGATTTCTGAAACCCCTTTATTATAGAATCTAATGTGATGGTGAGTTTATCTTTGAGGATAGACGAAGGGATCCGAAGCAGATGTTCAAAGTGTGGGTGTGGCATCAGTTAACTGTGGCTTTAAATCTTTACTCTGCTTCTCCCTAACTGGGTAGGCTCGGGAGTGTCCCTTTTCTGAGCTTCAGTTTCCTTATTTATATGTGGTTGAGAACAATGGTACCTACTTCATGAGGTTGTTATAGGTATAATTAACCTTGTGCCATAAAGTGTTGAGTAAGTGCTCAGTCCAGGGTAAGTTTTGGGGGATTTCTGCTTGCTTGTTTTTATTTCAAGGAAAATGCATTGAACGGACAAAGATCACATTAAAGGTAAACTGTGGTGGGGGCAGGGAACTGTGTTTCTATTTTGTGGTGTAATGGAAAGAGCATAGGTTTTAGATTCTGACGGTCTTGAGTGTGTGTCTAGGCTGTAGGATTTGGGAGTGACCTCGGGCAAGTTCCTTTATCCCTTTCTGCTTTCTGAAAAATGAAGTTAATCTGAGGCAGTATTTGGTGCCTGTACATATTCAATGCACTGGAAGAATAAATCTATCAACAACCATTGTTTAGAAAACCCTATGTGACAGGTCCTGTTCTAAATGCTAGAGATCCAATGGTGCACAGTTGCAAAATCCACAGCCACCCCCTAAAATAGGCTCTATTAACACCCCCACTTTAGAGTTAAGAAAACTGAGGTTCAAAGAAGTCCCAGGTATCCTGGTTAAGGTCACACAGCCAGAAAATTCTCACGACCACTAGAGTGGCAGAAACATCAGCGTCGCTGGTGCAGCGAAGAAACGAAAAGCCTGCGGCTCCTTAGAGGTGATCCTGGGCTCAGTCCAGAGCATCTTGATGCTTTTTGTGGGAATTACCACCGAACGGGCGTGGTTCCAATGAGGACCGTCTCTTTCCTCTGCCCCTGTCCCAGGGACTGTGACAAAGCCTTGAGCTGCGCCACCATGCGGCAGAAGGCAGTATCGCTCTTCCTGTGTTACCTGCTACTCTACACCTGCGGCTGCTGCGAGGAGGAAGGTAAGGATCTTGGGACACCTAAGGATTAAGAAGCGGGAAGTTTCAGGATCCCTCGTTTAGAGACCCAGGCATGCCTCTGAATGAGAGGAGCTATTCCAATGGACAGCGCGGCGGGGGTGGGGGTAGGGGTGGGGATGGGGGGTGGTCCCTGTAGCCAGAGCCCCAGGTTTGAATCCCTGCTCTGCCCGTTCGTCCATTCTCTCGAAATGTATTCAAGCCAGTTCTGTGCCAGGCTCGGCGACCTGCGAAAAGCCGCTATCCTTCATTGAGGCTCTCCAAAATGGGAGGATGGTGGTCCCACCTGTCCGGGTGGTCTGGAGCTTCGGCATAGAATAGGGGACCTGGCTCCCCACTGGGCTTTGTCCATTCTCCTTCCAGACGAAAACAGATGCTCAAAGGAAAACAGCGACTCGAGCTTCTGGGGCACGGTGACCTACATGGCCCTCGGAGGTGGTAGGTCTGCAGGGTGGGGAGCCGGGGAAGATGCAGGCGGGCCCTGCAGCCGGCGTCCCTCACCCACCGCCCTCCTCTTCCTGCAGGACTCATGGCCGCGGCACTGCCCGTGCTGGGCTTCACGGGCACCGGCATCGCTGCCAACTCGGTGGCCGCCTCACTGATGAGCTGGTCGGCCGTGGCGAACGGGGGCGGAGTGCCGGCCGGGGGGCTGGTGGCCACGCTGCAGAGCCTGGGTGAGTGCGGGCAGGGCTCCTGGAGGCGGAAGCACCCAGGCCAGGGGCCTCCTTTACTGTCCTGAGCCTAACTCCTAACTCCTAACTGTCCACAGCCTAACTCGGCTCTACACACCGTGGGGAAACTGAGGCACCCACCTGGGGATTAAGGGATTGACTCCAATTCTCCCATATAGTTAGTACCACCGCCAGTATTCAAACCCAGTCAGCAGGCCTTCTCACTTTCAGCCTGTAACGACGGAGGCCTCACCAATGCTCTGGCCAAGTCACAAGTCTCAGTTTCCCCGTTAACCAGGATAAGCATCCTCAGTTTAACACTTTATGAAGCTCATCCAGCCCAGAAAATCAGAGTGGCAACGAACCAGGGAGAAGTGACCCAATTCAAAGTCCTGCTCACCCTGGTCTTGCATTTCTTGAGCATCTTAATGGGGACAGATACAGAGCACAGAGTGGTGCTTCTGAAAAACCTGCTTTCACTTCTCTTTCTGTCTCCCCATCCAGCCCTTTCTTTTTTCTTTTTCCCTCTCTCCCTCTCTCTGAGGCCTCCCACATCCTTTAGAAAAACCACCCCTGACAAACTGCCCCTCTGCCTTTCCCTCCATCTTCCCTCAGTTCTGGATGACAACAGCCCCAAGAAGCGGCCCAAGAGGCCAGGGCCCTTCTCGGAGCGGGCAGCGGGCAGACGCAGATGGAGCCACACCCCCAGCGGTTGGAGAGGAAGTGGGTGGGCAAGCCCAGCAACAGTCCTGTGCTGTGAGACGGCTGTCTTCTCACATGTCACAGGGTCGTGACAGGTTGTCCTGTCACACATGGCGGGGACAAGGTGGACATATCTCACTTGCAAAGCACCAGCAGCCACCGAGGCCTCCACCAAGGAGGCGGTTCGCATTACCCATAGCACAGCGTGTCCGCTGCAGACATGAAGAGAATGCACTCTTATTTTTGTCATTTTCATCTCGGATTTGAGATGGCAAGTTGGCCGGGTGGCAATGGGAGTCCCTTCGCAGAAGTCCTGTCCCCTCTGGGCCTCTGTTCCTCTAGCTGGAAATAAAAAGGGTACACTTGACCTGTTGTTTCCCCACATTTGGATTCCTGGGCCTGGTGCCTGGGCCCCAAGGGACCCAGCTGTCATTTGTGTTACAGGTGCTAGCGGTGGCAGTGCCCTCATGGCCAAGATCGGGGCTCTTCTGGGCTATACTGTCCACAAGCAAGTCGAAAGCAGACAGGAGAGAAAGGAGAAGAAGTAGCTGGCCGCTCCCTGGAAGCCCCTCCTTCCTCTTGTCTTCCTTTTCCAGCTGCAGTCCAGAGCTTCCTCTGTCACACTTGGCAATGACCAAGGTAAAAAAAACACACACACAGAATAAACGTCTCTCAGAAAGCACTCGGGCCTGCTGCGAGTCGTGGTTGCTATGAGAAGCCCAACAAGATCTCGCTCTGGTGTGCCTCATCCACACACCCCACCCCCATTCCCCTCCCCAGAGCCCCCTCACAGCTCCTGGAGCACGACCAGCTGGTTTTGCCTCTGAGCCTTGGTGTGTTCTGGTCTCGGCCTAGGACGTCCTTCTGAAGCTCGCAACCCACCTCACACATACCTCATCCCCCGGGACTCCTTCCCAGCAGAGCCTTCCTGCTACCCCTGTCACAGCCGGAGCGCCCAGTCTCCATTTCACAGGGTGTCTGGGGAGGCAGATTCTTTCTGTTCCCAGTGAGCAAAGCTTCTGGCTACTTCCCTCATCAGGTAGGGATGGAGAAGCCAGACCTCCATTCCCCAAAGAAGCGCTAGAGGGGTCTCCCTCAGATAAGGCCAGGCCTTTGTCGTGGGGAAATGGTTTAAGAGCAGCTTTTGGGGGGTGGGGGTGGTCAGCAAGGCCTCCCTTCCTTTAGAGAGCTCTGGGGACAGGGTGGGGAGTTTGCAGCTGGAGCCCACACGCCTTCTGAGGGGGAAAGGGAGGCCCAGCCCTTGGGAGGATCTGAGGTTCAGGAGGCCCATCCAGGGAACCAGAGTGCCAGGACCTCGGTCAGGGAAGGGCAAAGAGACCCCGGAAACCAGTCAGCAGTAAAGCTTGGGCTGGTTCTGGCACTAATGCAGAGAGAGAGACAGACTCAAGCTCTGGTTCCGGCCTGAGTGGGCGTGCCAGCCGCGATTCCAGACCAGACTTCTAGAGAGGTCCGCACCCCCTGGGAAGTGGCCATGTGTGAACCACAAAGCCGGTCACTAAAGGGCCCAGTCAGCTGTCCTCAAGCCTCCCCCACCCAGCCCCACTGCCAACCCAGAATATCTCCTTCGAATACCAACGTGCAGTGGCGGTTAAGAGGCTGTATCGTGCTCGCTCCTGTCTCCAGGTCCGACGCCACGTTGAAGGTGGCAAACAGTTGGCCTCAGCTGGCTCACCCCAGGCCCCCAGAGAAGCCGGGCTTGTGAAAGAGGGGGCACAGGTGCTGGAGGCCCCACCGGCACCTCAAACACTGTCTCCACAGTTTGTTCCAGGAGCGGAAGCTGAGCTGAGTTCCCTGCCCTCAGAGTCACCACAGGGCATCAGCTGAGTCCCGCCTTGGTGGACTTCTGCGCACGTCTCAGGCGCCACACTCTCCCAGGCCTGCTAACTGCACCCCAGTTTGTCCACAGAGTTGATATCCCAGAGACGGAAGTGTGTTCCCTCAACCCCTTCACAGCGGGCACTGCATCTCACTCATCTCGCCTCCCCAGCGCCTGGCATACAGCAGGTGCTCAATATATGTGGGTAGAATTGAACCTGAGGCCAGTCTCCTTCCATCCACCAGTCCCTTCACCTCCCCCAACCTTTAAGGGAGGCAGGGGCTGGACCGCTTGTTCTTTTCCTGGGGAGCCCTTGATAATACCTGCTGTCACTGCCATGCAGGCCTCAACCCCCTTAATGCTGTGGTCAGGTAAACACAGGCCCCTGACTTTTGCTCAGTATTCTCTAGCACAGGTGAGGCTGGGTTTTCCATGGAGCAGAGGAGCAGAGTGGGTAAGGGTGTCCCTCCGAGCCCCACAGACCCGGGTTCAAAGCTGCCCTGCCCTCTCCGACCACGCTTTGTGCCCTGCAAGGTCCCTTCCCTGGTCTGTGCTGCGCTTCCCTTGCCCGTAAACCGAGAACAATAACAGCATCTGTATGTTAGTTGCTCAGTCGTGTCTGACTCTTTGTGACCCCGTGGACAGTAGCCCACCAGGCTCCTCTGTCCATGGGATTCTCCAGGCAAGAATACTGGAGTGGATTGCCATTTCTTATGAGACTAGATTAGATGAAATCACGAACAGAGTTTAGCACGATGCCTGACAAATGCTAAACACTCAGTAAATGTCCATTATTATTATGAATAGGGACTTGCATAAAGCAAAGAGGAAATAGCCAAATAAAACCAAGAATTAGATAATCTAACTTTGGAGTCTGGGTTTACTTTCTAGGGCTCACAGCCCTGGATCTTCTTTCTTCCTCAGGGTGGGCATCCTGCTCCCAGGGGCATACACCGTCCTTAGAGATCATATTGCCCTGAACAGCATTTAAGGCCAGAAAGAGGTGGACGACTCTGGCTCCAGATTTTAGATCTGAGGCCTCAGCAGTTCTCAAGCTGAGTGACCCTGGCAACGACCTGTCTTTAAGGTGATCATCTGCCTATCACAGGATCCCTTTGGGCCGGTGAGGGTAACTCTTGACTTTCGTTCCCCAGCATTTACTGGGCACTCACTCTGTGTCTGGCACTGTGCCAAATATTAAGGACACCGCAGTAGAAGAGACCCAGTTCCTACTTACTTGGATCCCCTGCATACAAATTAGAAACCCCTCAGAATATTCATGACCACCCCCCCTCCCCCCGGTTCTCCTTCCCTGTCACCACCTCCTCGCCCCCATCTCCTTTCACCCATCCTGGCCCTTGTCAACTTCCATGGACTGCAATCATCTTGTCCATAAAATATGAGACAGAATGATGAACACAAACCCAGAATTCGTTTGTGCAACAAGTCAGGAGACACTAATCACCTTTGGACTCCTCCTCGGCAATGGTCTTCAGAAAGACACAGCACCAAATCCTGGTCCAGCTCCAGAGTGGGGTGCTCAGGCAGGTTACTTGCCTTCCTTGAGTCCCAGCTTCCTCATTTTTAAAACAAGGGGAGGTTGGACATCCGAGTCTCTGGGCCTTTCCTGCTCTAAAACTGCTGAGCCTGAAGCACAGACTTCTGAATCCCCTAGGTCTGTCGGTTCCAGCCCTCTGAGGTTTTATTTTTGGAAGCAGCCAAAAGCCATCTTGTGGTGCCAACTTTGGTGACTAAGGTGGGTGATGGTGCTGAGAGATGCCTATTTGGTCACAAATAAGGGTGGCTAGAAACTAGCAGGGCCGTTCCTCACTCTGGGACCGCACCCTAAGACAAATCCAAAAATAGATCCCATCTGTGTGGCTGACTTGATGGAAAACAACGTTGAGGTCCTCTGACATCATCATTTCTCTCTGGACCTCAAGGTCCTAGTCTATAAAACAGAAGAAGGGGAGAGCTGGAATCTCGTCTAGACCTAGAATGTCTTTACAAAGTGCTCAAGTTAGAGATGTCTTGCTCTTTGATAAAAATCCCTTTATCTAGAGATTTATTTTATTCTTTAAGGGGCCCCCTGGCCCCCAAGACCCTTGAAAGTCCACTCACTCCCTCTCCGGGCAGGCTTCCCACAATCCCACTGTGCTATGCACGAGTATGACCACCAGGTGGCAGTGCTGTCCCAGCCTGAAAGCCGCCTCAGCCTGACTCATCCTCCCGCAGCTCCACTATGATCAACAGCTCTCCCTGGGGCCAGCCCCACCAAGGATGCTAGAGACCAAAATGATTCAGGCTCTGCGCCGGCTCTGCGGCAGGAGCTCCTGAAGCTCACAGGAGTGGTCAACGCTGAGGATGCCTGCAGGGCTGCCCTCTCCTCCCCTTCCAGGCCCTCGGTCCTGCAATGCTGGGATTTCCAAACTCCTGACCACAGCAATCAGGACACCCTGCGACCTGGTTTCACTTCCAGGCTCACAGCCTGTGCTCCCAGACCTGAGTCAAGGGGGATTTAAAGGCAATGAGAGGAGCTCCACACAGACCCTTCTTGTCGGGACGGGAGATGGTGATACCCGGAACAGGGCATCTCTGGACCCAGCCTTGAAGGGGACCTGGGCCAGGAGAGGGCTTGGGTCAGCAGCAGCTGGAGGCAGTGGAGGCAGAGGGGCCTGTGGCTTCCTGTGAAGAACTGAAGAGCCACTTCCTTTAAGCTAGCCGGTGTGGGGGAGGGGCAGAAGGTTAGGGAGAATGGACTTCCTGGCTCAGGGGAGAGGAAGGCCCTAGGAAGACCCTATGAAGAAGCCCAGAGCAGCCTTCTATTTCCTTTCCCTCTAGGGGTTTCCAAGGAACAGACAGGGCTGACAGGCAAGGTCACACCTTTTCCAGGTTCTGTGAAGCCACAAGGAGGTCAGATTAGGGGAGGCTCATTTGTACCAGATCAGTAAAGAAATGGGGTCTTGATGGCTCAAAGAAACAGGCCCAAAGGTACCTCTAGGTATGTAGGAACCTAGGCTAGACATTTGCCCAAAGGGGCCCCCCTACCCCCACTGACCTTCCAATGATAGCCTTCTTTACTCTGGGGTCTCCACTCAAATGTCACCTACTCTGAGAAGCCCCCCTTGACCACACTTTAAAGGAGCCTCCTTTTTTCTTGCTACCACAGCAGTTCCCAAACTTATCTACAGCTGGAATTACCTGGAGGGATCAAAACAAACTGATATGTATCTTACCCACAGAAATTGTTATTTAACTGGTCTGGGGTGTAGCCTGGGCTTTGGAAGTTAAAAAAAAAAAAATCGCTGGGTGATTTTTATGGTGCAGACAGACAAGTGTGGGAACCACTGGGCTAACATGTCATCTGTTTTAATTTTCTGTATAAGGCCAGTAAAGAATTGGAGACTTGGAGGTCCTTGGTGGTCCAGTGGTTAAGAATCTACCTGCTAATGCAGGCGACTTTGGTTTGATACCTGGTCTGGGAAGACTACACATCCCTCGGGGCAACTGTGCTGCAACTACTGAGCCTGCATTTTACAGCCTGTGCTCCGCAACAAGAGAGGCCACCGTGATGAGAAACCTGCACACCGCAGCTCGAGCAGCCTCAGCTCACCGCAATTAGAGAAAGCCTGCGTGCAGCAACAAAGACTCCGCGCTGCCAAAAATAAATACATTTTTTAAAAATAAATTTTAAAAAAGAGAACATCTTTAAAAAAAAAAAAAATTAAAGAATGGAGCCTTGATTGCTTCAAGAAGCAGACCCAAACACTCAACCCCAAGTTCAAGTCTAAGGAACCTCAGAACCTAGTCCCAAACACCCAGATCCAAGGTTTTACTTATATCACCTCATTTAATCCTTACCACAATCTACTTAGATGTTATTAGGAGCTTCATTTCACAGAAAAGAAATGAAGGTAGAGAGTTGTCAAGTCACTTCCCTGAGGTGAACAGCTGGTAAGTGACAGGCCAGGACTTGAACCCAGTCAGCCTCACTAGGACAGTGCCTGGCCTCCAGAGGGCACTCTATAAGTAACTGCCCAATGCAGTAATTTAACGTTAATCTCCCTCTGCCTCAACCATCCAACCCCATTTAGTTGAGCAACCAGGCAGCCTGTAGATCTATTTTCTAATCATTTCCTGAGTCTGTTCAGGGGTCTCCACTCACATGGCTCTCCTCTCAGCATCCAGGCCTAGAGGGCACCCACAAAGTCCTTCTAAGAGGTCACCCTGGGTCCACTCTTGATCCTTGTGTTCACTCATGTATTCTCCACACAGGGCCAAGGAGATCTGAAAACAAAGGAGATCAAGTGACACTCCCCCAAAAAACCCAACCAGTAGCTGCCCATCACACTTAGAATAAAGTTCCACTTCTTTATTTTGGCCTTTGAGGTCTTTAATAATCTGCTCCCCCAAATCTCCAGTCTTATCTCACTGTGCTTCCCCTCCCCCAACTCTTTTCCAGCCATACCGGCCTCTTTTCCCTTCCCAGAACCCTGTAAGAGCCTGCCAAGTTCAATGCCTTTCCACAAGCTCTTTCCTCTGCTTGGAACACTTTTGTTGCTTCAGGAGTCAGCTGGAAGGTAACTTCTCCAGAGACCCGAGCCCCCAATCTAAATTCAACACTCCTTTATTCCGGCAGCTGGTTCCTTATGTTCCTAGAATTGATCACGGTTGTAATAAAAAGCATGATCGGTGTAAACATTTGTTACTGTCAGACTTGCTCACTAGACTTGAGCATTCTGAGATACAAGCACAGGGCTCATCGGTGTTTATCACCAGCACCCAGCTCAGCGCCTCGCACACAAGAGACGCCCCAAAGCTTTGGCTGAGCGGACAGTTAAGATGGACAGCTGGATGCACAGACCGATAAATGGGTGGATGAGCGCCTGAGTGAATAAATACATTTTAAAACTTAGAAAACGATTCACCTGCCTGTATATTTCTCAGGGTAGCTATAACGTGCGCGATTTACAAGGGAGTTATTTTCACCCTTCGACAAGCCCCACCCACTGGCCCTTCGAGGCTTTTCCCAGACCCGGCCACTGGGCGGGACTTCCAGGGCCGGATGAGTGACGTCACGGGGCGTGCCCGGAGTCGGCCGCTGCCTCCTGATTGGCGGGCGCCCCGGGCCGCAGCTCTCACCGCCACTGCCGTCGGCGTGGAACCGTGGGAGCTGAGCCGAGGGACCTCGGCGATGTGTCCCCGTGGACCTCGGCGACGCCGTCTGCAGCTGCGCCGGCCTCGGCTCATCGGGGTCCCCTGGGGCACGTTCATGTAGCGCTGAGCCTTTGGCCAGGCTCTCCCCGTTCTGCCGGGAGATGGGACAGCGCAGGGGGCCCGCGCTGCGGCTGGACCGCTCCCCGCAGAGGGCGGGGCAGAGAGCTGGTGACCAGACCTCTGAGCGCTCGCCGAAGCGCCACTATTTCGGGCCTCTGACCTCAGCGAGGAAAGTCCCAGAAACACAGCCCCACACACCACCACCACCACCACCCAAATCTTCTGGACACGCTTCATCTCTTCCGCAAACCCCCACCCCAAACTGAGACCCCAAAGATCTGGACGAGGAGTAGCACTGGATTCCTATTGCCTCCGTCAGACTCCATGCCCGCCCTGTAAGGCGGGAGATGCTGTTCCCATTTTACAGACGCATGAGCTGTGGTTTCTGGTTGGATGCTTTTTATCTAAGGTCGCACAAATGAGATAGTGGCCAAGCCAGGGTAGACTTGAAAGCCCAGCCTCTTTCTTCTCCCTCTCAGCTTGGTGCCTCTTGTCTAATGACCCTGCTTCCAGACGCATCATGAGGTCCTGAGGGTCCATGGCTCCTGTTCTGCACAGCTGGATCCCACCTACACTGGGGCCTCGGCAGCCAGCTAAGAGCTGACTGTATGTCAGGAGTCGCCCCTTCCTTCTGTACTTGGTCACTCCCCAAAACCACGGAGGGACCTAGACTAAAATTAGGCAGTGGCCAAGGAGCATTCTGGTAGGCATCAAGTCCCTGAAACTAGACTGGGCCAGTTATTTCCTGCTTGACCTTCAGTGGTTTCCTTTCCTGGAGCCTCTGTTTATCATCTGTAAAGGGGGAATATTATCCCTCCCCGGGGTCTCTGTGTGCCAGTTTTCAGGAAAACTGCTCTTCTTTCTCCCAGGTCTCCATACCACTATAGATAATAATATTTAAATCCTCAATAATTAAAACCCTCCTGAACCCTCTCAGAGAGCATGGCCTCCTCTTCAGGGTCCCTGTGATGGCAAAACGCCAGCATAAACTGCATATAACCTGGTCCTTGATGGAAGTCACAGATCCTGGGTGGGGCAGGCAGCAGGTGAGAGGAGGGGGCATAGCTTCCTCAGCTTCAGCCCCTCTTGGCCTGCATCTCTGCTGAGGAACCGGCTCTCTCATCACCTCGACTCCCTCTCAGTTCTGTGGCCTTTGCAGAGCCGTTCCCCAGGGGAACCCTGTCTCTTCTGCCTCCTTCTGTTATCCTCTCTCCCTTCTCCACCGCCCCCCACCGCCCACAATTGTTTATCCATGCCTACTCTGTGCATCCGTCACTGAATAAGCTCAGTGCCAGTCCTTGCAAAGGAGGAGACTGACAAGGAAACCGAGTTATAATTCATGCACCCATCCCCAGTCCTATTGCCCTCCCCGGTTCTGCCCTCAGCCGTGCAGTCTGCTCTCTACATCCTGATAAAAGGGAGGTCAGAACATGTCACTCTTCTGCTCAACCCCCTCCCACATCTCCCCAGCCCAGAGGAAAAGCCAGCGTCCTTGCTGTGACCTGCACGGCCTGCCTGAGCTACCTCATCGCCTCCCACTCTCCCCTCTGAGAGCTCCATTCCAGCTGCACTGGCTGCCTTGCTGTTTTTCAACATGCCAGGCATGCTCCCGCCTCAAGCCTTTGCATTTGCCCTTGGTGCCGCTGGAATGTCTTCCCCAGGTATCCGGGTGACCTCCTCCCATCACTCAGGTGTCTCCAACTCTTTCAAGGGCTTCCTTGAAATACTGAAGACTACTTCCTACTTGGCTTCTGTCCTTTTATCTGCTTTATTGATGTTCTCTTGGCATTATCAAGTGACAGATAATTATTTGCTTATTGTGTATTCCCCTACTTACAAGACTGTAAGTCCCGTGAAATCTCCTATAGTTCCTCACCCCTCGGGGGGAAAAAAATGAGGGAGGGAGAGAAAAGAGTATCAGGAAACTATAAAAAATGAAAGGCAACACTCACCATACTACTATCGATAATAATATTTAAATCCTCAGTAATTAAAACAACTTGCTTTGGCTTCAGGAAGAGACAAAGGAGTGGGCTGGCTAGAATGTCCAGAAATAGACCCAACTGTACACAAGAATTTAGTACTTGATGAAAGTGGCATCTCAAAGTGAAGAACGGACTTGCTAATAAATAGTGTTGGGACAGCTAGGTAGCCAAGTGGGAGGGCAAATGAGATCTCTACCTCACATTAGAGCACTAGGATAAGCTCCAAAGGGGTCAAAGTTTTAAATGTTAAAAAATTAAAATAAAAGCACTAAAAGAAAACAGGAGAATCTGTAATCTCATAGTGGGAAAAGTCTAACTGATGTCTCAAAAACTAAAATTGTCATCAGAAAAGATTGATAAAGTCAACTATATAAAAATCAAAAACTTTTGCATGGAAAAAATCATATAAATAAAAAAATCACATAAATCAAGTCATAAGATGAATGACAAAATAGAGGAAAAGATTCACATCTCAGATCACAGAAAAGGGTCATCTCTCTAATTTATAAAGAATTCTTGGAAGACCACTAAAAGAATCAATGATCTAGTAGAAATAGGCAAAGATATGAATTGACAATTTGCAGAAAAGTAAATACAAATGGCTTTTAAGCATATGGAAAGAAGATCAAACACAGTTGAAAAAATGAAAATCAGGAAAAACATGGTGGGATACCATGTCTTATCCGTCTGATGAAAAAGCCAAAAGTTCAATAATATACTCTGTGGGCCTTTCTGTAAGGAAACCATACTCTCACACCTGCAAATATAAATTGGTACAAGTCCCCAAAAGGGCATTTTGGCAAAATCTATCAAAATTACAAATGCATCCAGATATTCTACTTCTGGGAATTTATCCTTCGGATATACTTGCAGAAGTGAGAAATGATGTATGGACACGATTATTCTCGGCAGCGCTGTTTGCAATAGCAATAGACTGGAAACAACTCAACTGTCTGTTAGTAAGTGCTGGGTTAGGCAGAGTACAATTCATCCACAAAATGAGGTACTATTTAACTACGAAAGAGAATAAGGGAGATCCATGCATCCTGACAGGGAAAGGATATCTGTAAGGGATAGTAAGTTTTAAAAGCAAGGTACAGGTACTTCCCTGGTGGTCAATGGCTAAGACTCCATGCTCCCAAGGCAGGGGCTCTGGTCAGGGAACTAGATCCCGAATGTTACAACTAAGACCCGACACAGTCAAATAAACAAATAAATTTTTAAAATAATATGTTTAATTTTAAAAATCCAGGTGCAGAGCAGCATATATGATATTCCACCTTTTGTAGGAGAAAGGGGAAGAATTATATATACAGCTGACCCTTTAACAATGCAGGGTTATGAGCTCTGAATCCCTGCACAGTCGAAAATCTGTGTACTGCTATGTCCGCCTCGAAAACGAAGGAATTGGTAAATGATTCACACAAAAGCAGGAAGTGGGGGATTCCCTAGTGGTCCAGTGGCTAAGACTCTGTGCTCCCAATACAGTGGTGCTGGGTTTGATCCCTGGTCAGGGAACTAGATCCCACGTGCCACAACTAAGACTCTATACAGCCAAATAAATAAAAAATAAATATTTGAAAGAAAAAGAAAAAAAAATCAGGAAGTGGGAACAGTTCAGATAGAATCAGGATTCAACTTCAGTTCTTTTGATTCCATGGACTGGGATCTCTAATCAAACACAAACTTTCCCCCACACAATTAATTTAAAGATCTGTAAAATGAAATCCCTTGAAATCTCCTACAGATCTTAATATACCCATTTTACACCTGGGGTTTGTCTAGGTACCATATTTATTGGGGAAAAAAATCCGTGTATAAGTGGAGCCACACATCCCAAACCCATGTTGTTCAAATGCTGACTGTATATTCATAATTTTACTGAGAGGCAGCATAACCAGTGGTTAACAGCACAGGCTTAGAAGTCAGACTGCCTGAGTGCAAATGTACTTTTGGGTGCCAGGCTGGGTTCAGTAGTGTCCCACCAAAATTGATGTCCATCTGGAACCTGGGAATGAATGTGACCTTATTTGGAAATAAGGTCTTGTTTGCAGATGTAATCAAGGTAAGACAAGGTCATCCCTACATTCAGTATGACTGGTATCCTTATAAGAAGAAGAAAATTTGGACACAGAGACAGGCACACACATATGAAGACAGAGACTGGAGTGATGCAACTACAAGCCAAAGAATTCCGAGAATTGCTGGCAACCACCTGAAACAAGGAGATGAGAAGCTTGGAACAAATTCTCCCCAGAGCCTCCAAGAAGGACTGAACCTTGCTGACCCCTCAGTTTTGGACTTTTAGCCTCCAGAATTGTGAGAGAATAGATTTCGATTGTTTTAAGCTACCCCGTTTTTGATAATTTCTTCTAGCAACCCTTGTAGCTATAGTGGTAATCTAGCTACTTAGAAGCTGTGTCATCTTGGACAAGTTATTTAGCCAGCCTCTCTGTGCTCCAGTTTTCTCATTGGTTCTGGAACCAATCCCCAGCAGATACCGAGGGACAACAGTCACCGAGTCTCTATATTCTTGGACAAGTAATTAAGCCTCCCTGGGCCTCAGTTTCCCCATCTGTGAAATAGGAACAATGAGATTGATCTTTCTGTACATTTACTGTGCACAGTAACCCAACAGGCACCTCACATGCATCATTTCACTTCATTACATAGCAGATTTTATCAATATACCCATTTTACAGATGAGGAGGTTTAAGGAGTTTAAGCAGCTTGTTCAAGGTCACCCAGTAAATCAAAGAGTCAGGATTTGTCTAGAGGCCAATGTCAGGGTTATGGAGAGAAGGCAGTGTTAATCAGTTCAAGCAGACCCTGGGTCAGACCCCAGCTTGTTCACTCATACACTAGTTGTGTGACCTTGGATGAGTCTCTGGAGCTCTCCGGTGTCTAACCTTATTCACTGGAAGAATGACTCTACTTTGCAGGGAGATAATGCAGGTAGAATGTCTAGAACAGGGCTTGGCATACAGTAGGTGCTCAATAAAAGTGTCCCGGCCCCCTTCCTTCTTTGCCTTCTCCATTGCTTCTTTTCCTCCTCTGGAAGGGATTTCAGTCCTGTGGGCTAACCTAGCTGAATCGAGACACGGTTGGTGTTCCCTCCTCCCATACTGATGAAGACCAGAGGACTCCTGGGGGCATCCCCTACTCCCAGGGTCTCTCCATTCCCAGGGAGCCTCAGCCTGTGGCCATCTGGGGGATGGCCTCCAGTCTGATGTAGACACAGCCCAAGCGGAA